TGTAGTCATATTTGAATTTAAAACGTTTTGAATTTTGAAAAAGTTTTCCTTGTGTCCTTCTGAATTTTGACTTGTTTCTGTAAGAGGTAACAGTATATGCGTTGAAGGCATTGATGGATATGGTATACCAAAACGACAAAACTGTTGTCCTCTTATTTCCCTAGTACAAGACCGACTGTGGTTATGCTTTTGATAACCCAAATAATTTTCTAAGTGGCTGATCGAACCATCTGTAGAAATATAATTGTCAATAAAACCAATGACATCAGGGAATGTCTGAGGATCTTGAAGGTTGATCCTGGGAGCATTATTAAGCCAATACATTCCATGTACATGCGGGGAACCTCTCTGTTGAAACTTCACTCTCCAGTAGAAATTTGTGACAAAATGCTCTCCAAAAATGCCCGCGTTATCTATAAAAGGTTTAAGAATTTGTCGATAGCGGTAGTCAAAATATCTAGCACAAGTAACCGCGTCTGACCGAATTAAGCGATATCTATCTTCCTTCCTTGGCTTCCTCGTCCGAAATATCTTTAAAATCAACAGTTTTAGAGAGGATGACCAAAAGCTCAACCCACTGAGATTCTGCAGCCGATAAAGTGATAAAGAAGGTTGGAAGCCCAAATTGGCGAATCATAGCGATTGCCTTTTTCTTCTCAGCTTCCCAATGCGCAGGTGAGGATCTAACGCCTTTCAAAACCTTGTAACCATCATCGTGTTGAATCAAGTTTTGAACAAAGTTTTCGTTTAATAGATTTTGGGCCGTAGCTCGGTTGCGGCCTGAAAACTTTCTAAGGCAAATGAATGTACTATTCTTAATTTGTAGCAGTTCTAATTTTTTGTAATCATAGAACAACTTTGGAATGGTACACGCTCTTTTGTCAAAACGGCGAATTTCAGAACGTATTATCTTGCTATATGTTTCAGAGCAGATACGTTTCCCCCAACGTATATTGTTCCAAAATCCTTCACCTGGTGCTATGACTAAACGGTTATACTCCAAGTTTTCTACAGAAATATTGGCCAAAAGAGTTTCTTAATCGCCTGGATTTAGCTCTGAAGGTAAAAGGGTATTAGCTGAGGAATTATCATGAGAAGTTTGTGCCGCATGAAAGGATTGAACCAATCGGGAATCCTCTACAGATGCAACAAACGGAACTTCTTCTTGGTTTTTAAATTCAGAAATCCACTACTGCTTAATATGTAGATTATGCTCACGATACAGAGGGGTATTCACTAAGAATTGCAAAGCTTCCATAATCTTGTAATCGTGATTGTATTCCGAACGCCCTCTTAAGTGAAGTAATATCACTGATGAGGCTCATTCAAAGGACCTTGGACAAGATGTCACAATATTGTCAACAGAAATTGGTATATTAACAACAGCACCTTTGAGGGAACTCTTACCTTGATATCCTAACGAACGGATTATCTTAAAGGCAATCTAGGCATTATGCGACGTTCTTTAATTGGGGTTAAACCTTTTAAACAATCCGGTAATTCAGGAAAGTTTAGTAAATATTACGTTTCACAGGCCTCTCTTGAGGCCAACTTCTCACCACCGGACTATAAGGTGGTGCATTAAGATCTCCCATCCGAGCTCCCGGAGCTTCTGGCGCGTCACCAAAGACGTGTGTGGCCTGGCGTTGTCCTGATGGACACAAAACCTTCCTGGCTGTCAATCCGGTCTTGGCCGCTTCCCCGAGCTTTGACCACGACCGTTTGCGCTCGATGTTGTCGTAAGTGACCCATTTTTCATCGCCAGTCACAATCCGCTTCAGAAACGGGTCGATGTTGTTGCGATTCAGCACCGATTCGCAGATGAAAATTCGGTCCATCATGTTTTTTTGCGTTAGTTCGTGTGGCACCCAAACATCGTGCTTCTTTTTGAATCCAAGGTTATGCAAATGGTTCCAAACGGTTTTCTGGCTTATCTTTAGTTCCTCAGCAACTAAATAAGTGCTCATGTGACGGTCCGTTTCATTGATTTCCATGATTTTATCGCAATTTTCGACGACAGGGATCCCGACGCGTAGTGCATCTTTGACGTCGAAATTACCGGAACGGAACCTAGCAAACCACTTTTGTGCTACACGTTCCTTTACAGTATCGGTAACACTAGTACTATGGACAATAACGCCATTTTACTTGACCTAATATTAGAAGAAATATATGTATATAGAGATCTAAATCTATCTCGATTAGTTTTAGGTGATGCAAACAACCGTTTGGTGAACAAAACTATACTCTGTTGCAACATGTTGCAAAAGTATAAAAATGTTGCAAAAGAATTCAACATTCATTATTCGATTATTATTTGGTATCTTATTAACTTATGTTATTGATCCTAGATTTATTTAGTGGCAATATTATTTTTTTCTCCGAAATGTTAACTTTAATAAAAAGAAGCTATTTAACTTAAACATGACTTATGTGATATAATATGAACTGAACCAAAGGGGTTAGATTTAATGTGGGGTATATGAGGTTGCTGTTGTACCAGAGGAGCGGAAATCAGTATATTAGGGTTATAAGGTTTAAACATAGGTCTAGACCAATTTTATTCATATGCAGCGATATACCACGTTATTTTAAAAAAAACTGTGCATTTAATTTTATTTATACCATAAGTAGTACATGTGAGCTGGGGAAATTCGTGGACCGATGTCACAAATTTTCAGCATTTAACTATCGTTTATCTAATATTTTACGTTTATATAAAGCCAAACGGAAGTTTTAATTTTTCATATAAAATATGTTGGAGTAGGGTCAATATATACCCGATAATGGGTGGAACCGAGAATTTTATACTCTTGCAATTCGCAAAAATCAAATGCCAGAAAATTCGTTCAAACCTTATATTAAAAAAATGTTGAGAAAGAATTAAACCATCCATTATTAAATGAAATCGTGAATAAATTACAATCAAATTTGGTCATTTCTTGACTTATATTAAAGGCCATAAACTTAGTCTCAGTTTTTTTACTTGAAGTTAGATATACATAAGTATAAATGTGATATTAACTCTACCAAATGTCTTGTGACAAACGTCAACCAGAGAATCGGAATTCATTATATGAAGGTGTAAGGTTTAGACCAAGGTATATACTAATTTCATTCTAATTCAGCGTCAAACCACATAATTTTAAGAAATCTTATCCACTTAATTTCGTTAAAATATCACACTTTGATCAACCGGAACGATTTAAAGTCAGCTGGAAAGAGTATATTAATTTTGACATTGCTCAGCTATACTCGAGAACGTATTTTGAAGCAATTTTATATATAAAAAAATATTAATACTCACTGACCGACATATTCGGCATGAAATTGGTTAGAATAACGAAAAGCATTAGAAGTAGTATATGGTATTTGAGGGTTGTATTAATCCGTTTTTATCAATTTTTGCCAATACCACGGACTACTAACATGCCACATTCTAATAAAATCCTCCCACTGTTTCATTAAGATACCTCACATACCATCACCAATCAAATGGAGTAAAGTCAAACGAATGTTCGAAAATCCTGATATTCGTTACATAGGGGCTGGGTAAAATTTTCAACCGATTTTATCCATTTTAGGCACAAAGATACCTTGTTGTGAGTTAAACAAACTCTCTTATTTTTATTGAGATAACTCACATACTGGTCGATATATGCGGTATAAAGTCGCCCGGAAGTTCAAAAATCTTTATATTAGGTATATGAGGGCTAAAGGGCACAAACATTATATAATATATTATCGAGAGTTTCATTTATTTATTTTATTATATGAATTAAAGTTATAATATAATATGTATTAAAATCTTACACATTGACCAATATTTTCAATAAAAAGTCAACTATAGGTACTGGGGTCCATATATTCAGTACCTAGGGGCTTGAACAGTTTCACCCATTTTCACACTGTCGATAGAGGTGCTAAAAAAATTTGTTCTGTTTTGTTTGTTTTTATAGCTTTAGCGGTTTAGGAAATAAAACCTATTAGAGGCGGGACCACGCCCACTTTAAAAAAAAGTTACTTGCAGATGCCACTCCCTAAGCTGATCCTTAATACCAAATAACAGAATTGTATCATATTGTGGAGCTTAGTTATGGCAATTATTTTATTTTTCATTAATGGCGTTTTGTGGGCGTGGCAGTGGTCCGATTACGGATCTTACGGTACCAAGAAACGTTTATACCAAGTTTCATAAAGATATCTCAATTTTTACTCAAGTAACAGCTTGCACAGACGGACAGACGGGCGGACGGACAGACAGTCACCCGATTTCAACTCGTCTCTTCATCCTGATAGTTTATATATGTATATATAACCCTATATTTAACTCGATTAGTTTTAGTGATACAACTGTTAGGTGAACAAAACTATTACTCTGTAGCAACATGTTGCGATAGTATAATAATAAAAAAGAAAACCAAAATAAAGTACAAATATCAAAAAAAAAATTGGTTAATTTAAAAAAAAACATAATAATTAAAAATATATAATTAAAAGTCATATAAAAAATTTTAATTTAAAATTTAAAAAAATCGTACAACTGCTGTACAATACAATTGTAACCTTCAAGAAATTGGATAAAAGACGTTTTGACAATTGAATAAAGCAAAAACACTCATTTTGTTTCTCAACTAATTTATTTACTTAATAATTTTATTTTGTAAATAAACAAAATATAATTTAATTACTAACTGCATATCATAAATGGTAAAGTATTTATATACTTGTACATACATATATTACATAAGCTACCTATGAAAAATTTAACAATTTTAATTCATATAAAAATTTGTATGTATATTTATTGTCGCTATAACATGTACATATATCAATTTGGCAATGATGAGCACAGAGTCGTTGTGAAATAAAGACAAGTACTAGTATAAAACCTTAATAATTGAAATATCGAAAACATTATTATGTTTGCAACTTAAATGAGTGAATTAATTACTATAACTATTGAATACATCGTCAATTCACAACAAATATTGTAATTCTTTTTTAATTGAGCAATTTTTGTGCATTTGTTTTTTTTTTTTTGTAATGTATAAATATCAAATTGGAACAAGTGTTTAACAAAAACGTTTCGTTGGGTATTTTCGCACTTAGTGTTAAGATACTTATTTGTTAAGGCATATTCAGTTGCATCGTTAAGGCAACGTATTATATAACGCTCCTACTGCAAATCGACGTGCATGAAGTCCGTTACATTCGAATATTTAGCTGATTAAGCAAACTATGACATTGTTAACAACGTAATTTCTATAATAAACATAGTTGTTATTTTTTTATGTTTCGTGTGTAACACAAAAAAAAAACAATTAATTTATATTGGTTGCTAGAAAAATGAGAAGTCATCGAAAATGTGATGCGTGAAACTTGATTTTAGTGTTCTGCATTCCCTGCAGATGGCTCTTTCTGTCGAAATTTCGTGGAATATTTATAGAAGTCGGACATTTCAAATGGTTTAGTTTCCTCCTGATAGGGTCGGAAGGTGGCCGGCTTTACGACAGTTATATTTTTGGGTGACTCAATTCGTATATCTGTTGGTGCTAGAGCACTGGGAACAGACGAAATACCAGCGATCGTTAAGCCGCTACTTACACCCAAAATCTTCTCGCCCATCGGTGGTGGTCGTGGCGGTGGTGGTGGTGTAAGCTGTGAGGGAGTATTAACTGGAGTGGCAGATTTCGGCGGTAAATACTTGAATACCGTTGTAGGGATTGGCAACTCAATAGTAGTGCTGTTGGTACTACCGTCCAGTGAATATGCAGCCGATATTGAAGGCGACCTCCTGCTATTCAGATAAGATGTAGACTGGCTAAGTTTTGCGTAGCGACCATCATCATCTTGTAACATTTTAGTTTGCGGATAGGGGTGCTTGTGTGAAGCAGCCGACATAGAGTAATGACGTGGCGCACCCGACATCGATTGAGAAGATAGTTTTGTGCGGTCACGGGACCCGCTTAAAACACCAGTGCTAACGCTAGCACCAGATGAAACCGCATGCATTTTATTTGCTAGTAGGCGCGAGCTAGTTGTGTTATGAAACATGTCCTGTCCATGTGCATTGCTACTAGCAGGTGACTGACGTACCACGGGGCCATCCAAAGAGGACTCCAACCACTGTTTTGACTTGGGCGGTTTCGATTTTTGCGTTTCACTGTTAAACGATGAAATAGAGATTTCATCGAGAGGCTTAGCCAAAGATTTAATAGAGGCTGCAGGCAGCGTGGCAGAAGTATTATAATACGCATTACTTGATAGCATATCACTCGAATGTGATTTAGTGTCAGCGCCTTTTTGGGTTGAATTGTAAGCAGTTCCCTTATGTGGTGGTGTATGTGGAGACACGGGTGGCAAATTGCTTTGCGAACGCCAGCGCAGATTATGCGCCGCTGCACTGTCCACATCAACAGAAATATAAGAAGGAGCTAACGAAACGGCGTCTAATTGCCTGCTAGCTACTTGTTGTTGAGGATGCGAGTGCAATAAATTATGCGGTTGTAACTGGTGTAATGTCAAAAACTGCTGCTGTGGTTGTTGCTGCTGCTGATACTGCGTATATTTCTGTTCGGCCTCTGCTGCAGTTACCATTAGCAAATCCTGCTGGTAAGAATGACTTTGTTGCAAATATGGAAGCATTTGTGTTGTTGCGACACCATGATGTGTTGGTGATGCTTGTGGCGATACATACTTCTTAATATTCTGACTGGACTTAATAAAACCACCATCGCTATAATTCTGGTGAGTAGGTGATAAATAGTAACGGTCACATTGCACGACAATCGGTTGCTGTTGAGGCGAAATATGTTGCTGGCGTAAAGTGGCAACATTAGCTGAGTTGATCGAATATAAGGAAATGCCATCGACTGGATACTGGCGAAGGTTCGATTGTGATGGCGATATTTGTTGATTATATTGTTGGAGCTGCTGCTGTTCGTCGTGCGTCTGATGCTGATCCAACTGTTGTTGCTGATGGTGATAATGATGATGTTGCATCATGGCGGCATATTGCATCTGATTCTGCAACATTTGATGTTGCATCATCTGCTGTTGCTGTTGTCTTTGCTGTACTTGCAGATAATTGTAATTGCCACCTAACGTTTGAACTGAAGGGTTTGTATTGCCTCTCTTCCTCAATGATTGAGACTTCGTTAGCTGCATTTGTGTTGTGGTGACATTAAAAGCTGGTGGATTAGATTCACCATTGTTAGAACTGCCGCCTGGATAGTTGTCATACTCTGATGAACGATTCGAAACTTCCGACTGTCGATTGGTAGTGTTATTATTATTGTAGTTCACCTGATTTTCCTTGCAACTACTACCGCAAATTGTCTTTCTTCGCAAGACGGTTGTACTTCCAATGTCACAACTTGCACTTCCGCCGTGTTCCTTTTTATACTGCCGAGCTAGCATGGCAAATATTTCATTTACATTTAAATACTCATAGTTTCCATTTAGTATTTGAGTTTCTTGCTTTTGTATTTGTTGTAGCAACCAATTCTTTTCGCTCAATACCTTCTCCAATTCCTGTTTACGTTGTTCTAGTGTTTGCCGTTTTAACTTTAATTCTGCATCATCCATAACCTGTTGATTATTACTCGAATTATCGTCATTATTGTTGTTATTATTATTGCTATTGTTGGCCCTTGTACCACTCCCCCCGCCTTGTGGATTTTCATCATTTGCATTGTTTCTTGTAGTGGCAGCCATATTCGGTCTTTGTTCTTCTTGGCGGAGTGTCCTGTTTTCAAAATTATCTGTACTGACAGATTTTAACACTTTTTACACGTCTTTAGGTGCATTTGTGATATTGTTGATAAAAGTACTGTTGCTTATTTTGTTCATTCCTTAATATCTTTCACAAATATAAAGCATTACAGCTCAGGTAACTTATGTTTTTAAAGCTCTTAAATTCCATAAGTTCCGCATACCGCTTCTCCTAAAAGAGAACACAAGGGGAGTGGTTCAGCAAAATCTCTTGACACTTTAGATGTTTTGGTTTATTGTTAGTTTATATACAATTTGTTTCTTTAAATATTTTACCACAACCAGTTAATCATAATTCACTTTTTTAACATCATGATCATGATTTCAAAAATGTAAATACAAAGTCATTAAGAAACTCAACTCACACTATTTTCGCTAGTGAAATTTTTTGGAAATCCGAATATATGAAAAGAATATATTTACATATGTATATGGTATATTTACGCACATATAAACGGTGCTGATGCCTTTAAATAGTAAATTTATAGAGTATACTTTTTATTCCAATATGAGAAAAACATTCAACTTTTTCCTAACCATATTAAAAAACAAAAACAAGTACGGAAATTCTAAGTTCGGGTGCAACCGAACATTTTATACTCTCGCAACTGGCAAGGATCAAAGCCCGGGAAATTACTTCAGGTGTTGGCAAAATTTTATATTAAAGGAAGTATTGATCCGATTAAACCCATTTTTGACACAAGGAAATACTATTATCGAGAGTTTTATTTAGAAAGTAATAGGCACTGGGGGCCACATAATCAGGGCTTGAACAGCTTTTGTTCGATTTAGACAATTTTTAGTCACAAGATCATACTTTAAACGGTTTATTCACGCAAAGGTTTACTCCGATACAATCATTGTTGCTTGATTTGCATAGTGGAAAGTGAAAGAATCAGATGTAATTTAAAATGGCGTTATATGGGAAATAAGCGTGGTTGATTTTGCCCATTTTCGCACTATAACATAGAAATATGGCAAGAATGTTATGTACCGAATTTGGTTGAAATCGGTTAAGCAGATCCCAAGATATGGATTTTTCCCTAAAAGTGGGCGGTGCCATGTGGGCGGTGCCACTGTCTAATTTTTAACGCAGTTAATATAAATTCATCTTATACCATCCCAGAGATAAAATTTAATGTCTCTGACGTGTTTAGTGCTTGATTTATCGAGCTTTTAGTAGTTTTTAACAGTACCGTTTTATGGGGAGAGGGCAAGGTTTTCACCTGGTTTCACCCATTTCCACACTGTCGATAAAGGTGCTAAAACCGCTTGCTCTCAGTGAATTTTGTTATTGTAGCTGTAGCGGTTTAGGAGATATGCACATTAAAGCTATGAGGGTGCGGGACCACGCCCACTTTTTTTAAAAAATTTAAACTGCAGATGCCCCTACCAAATGTGATCCTGTATACCAAATAACAGCCTTGAATCTTATTGTGAAGCTTAGTTATAGCAATTTATTTTTTTTTGATTAATGGCGTTTTGTGGGCGTGGCGGTGGTCCGATTACGCCCATCTGTAATACCAACTGTCTTACGGTACCAAGAAACGTGTATACCAAGTTTCATCAAGATATCTCAATTTTTACAGCTTGCACAGACGGACGGACAGACAGTCACCCGGATTTCAACTCGTCTCTTCATCCTGATCATTTATATATACATAATCTTATATCTAACTCGATTAGTTTTAGCTGATACAAGCAACTGTTAGGTGAACAAAACTTAAACTCTGTAGCAACAGGTTGCGAGAGTATAAAAACTTGAGTGTGTACATAAGTTTTTACAAAGCTTTTCCGCACGTATCGGAGAGATTTGCATGTACACATAGACATTGTTGGAAATAATTCGAACTCAAAATTTAATTACCAGCTCTCATCGGCTTAAGTTAAAAAAACAGTAAGGTGAAGTCAGGTTGTGCTATAGTTAGATTTGTTCCTTCTGTTACAATAGACTTGTTTTGAACCATAAAATGGAAATAAAACAGAATAAATTTGCATATGGTATTTAAAGAAGTGGTATTTTTAATTAAGAATTATATAATTAGAATAAACATTAATTTTTTAAATATTAAATTCGCGGTTTCAAAATTAACACCTTGATTTATTAATATTAATATCTTTTGAAAACAAATAACTATAATACATTTAGGCAGAAAAATGTTTCAAATTGTGTAAAAAATATTCTTACCTTGTATTAGATATCTCATTGGAGGTTGAATAATCTTTTAGTAACAAACAGTAAAGGACAATTCTTAATTTCAAGTGTATTTTCATTGGCTATAGACGAACTAGCGAAGTGAAATGTGACTAAGCTCATTTTTGGAATCATTATTAACTAACTTATGTTCAGTGTACGAAGAACATCCAAGTAAGGTAAACTTAAAATGATTACTAACAAAGTATTCGCGACAACAAACATATATAATATATCAACATGAAAACGTAAATGAGTGCAGTGACATCTGTTCAAAATCTAAAAAGAAAAAAAAATTCATATAGAAAAATGTATATAATTATAAATGTAATACAATCTCTATTATTATTCAAAAGGCACAATATTGATTAGTTAACTTTGGTAAATTGTTATTCCATTTAACATTAAGCACCTTAAGCCGCTGCAGCTGCTTCTTTACGAGTCTTTTGATTTTTTACCTTTGCATTGACAAAGCTGCCTACCAAAATTTATTTGCACTTCACTTTACCAATCCAATTTTTGGGAGTTTATTAGACTAAATTTATTATTAAATTTTATTATTTTGTAAAATTGTTAAAGTACCACAGTAACATAATTAAAACATTTTAAATTATTTGCGTGTAATATTAAAACTCAATATAACACTCAATGCACGTATAAAGGAAATTGAACAGAGATAAGGAGATGCCCAACTCGTCTCTCACTGGAAATGAGAGCGCAATTGATAAACGTCAAAACCTACTGAACTCAAGCAACTGTCAAAGTTCAGTAGGTCTGACGTTTAGCAATTGGAAAAAGAGGGACGGCCAGATTAAAATCCTACAGAAAAATATGTAAACAGAGAGATTTGTGCTGCTGTTGAAGATCACTAACAAAAATTAGAAAACAATGAAAATGAAAGAAAACGCGAAATTGAAATGTATGTGATGATATCTTTTGTGATGTCATGCTAAGTGGTATTGATTTTCAATTGAAAATTTTTAAAAACATTTATTAATTGAGAGCTAATACATTTATTCTTTTGATTCCGTATTGAAAGTTCAAAGATCAATTGTTAAATAAATCACAAAATCACAAAAAAAAGAGTATAAAAAGTTTCTGCATATGTTTAACGGATACATGTATAATAATATTTAATCTTAATAAATGATGGGTATTTTAATTTAAATTCCCAAAAATTATTATTTTGTACCATCTGGCTACAATGGAAAATGTTATAAAAAACGCTAATTTTGAGGCGCTCTCACACTGGAAAGAGTTGGGCATCCCATTATCCCTGAAATTGAAGATACGGAGAAACTGGAAAAGCCATCATAAGAAAAATAAAATAATGGAGAAAAAACGATGTTGCCACATGATTAACTGTGGTGAACACGAATGCCAGAACATAATACAATCGACGATGAACTACTAGAACCAACTAGATAGCGAAATAGTAGTTGCCAGAACATTCGAGTGGCGATGTGATATGATATACGTTCTCTGCCAAGCATTGCATTTATATTATACAATATATGAATTAATTAAATAAAAATAATTTTTGGGAAGAAAAGTGACAGTGCTCGCATAGTTTGCTAATTTATTATGGGAAAACTTTAGTATAACGTCCTAGGCTTTCGGGGATAAAATGGGTATGGGCGGATAGAGGAGATCCTCCAGTTCAAGAATATATATAGATATTAAAGTTCAAAATTTCGACTATTTAAAGTACGTATTTTAGCGATTTAAATAGAATTATACACTTACCTCCTCTATCCGCCCATACCCATTTTATCCCCGAAAGCCTGGGACGTTATTCTAAAGCCGACCCTTTATTATGAATATTTGGAACTTATGTGTCACGTTAGTTTTATTTGTTGGTATACATATTTCTCGCTTAATATTTGTTGATGGGGATCCCCTCCCTCCCAAGTCCTCCTGTAGGATGATGGGATTTAAATGTGTGATTTTTATGTTGATATCATATTATAAAAATATCCAAATACCAAAGCCAAGATTGCTCTTCTGGCTACTTTCCGGTTCGAAAGGGTTTAATATAGGGATAGATGCATGACAGATCTCCTGCATGACGACACTTCCATTCTGTTCCCTTTTTGGAGTGCGTATGGTAGGTTAATTCATAAACATATCGCTTTGTTATTATATCAAATTAATCTAGATATTCAAGCACCGTGAAAGTAATATAAGTATATATCAGTTTCTTCTTAAATTATTAAACATGTGCGAGAATCAGGCAAGAAGTAAATTGCTCTTATAAATTTATTAGGATAACTTTTTTAACTATTTAGACAATAAATCACTCTAAACTGTAAACATTTCTCAACCCATCCTATAGAAAATCATTTATTTTTTTAATAACTTTTAATTTTAATCGAATTACTCGTAAGTTAAAAGAGAAATTAATAAGTTCAAGTAAAATGTATATGTTTTTAAAACTCATTCACTCTTTGAGAAGAGAGCCTTGATCAGAGAACGTTTATCATGTAGAATATACATCACGTAAATTTCAATATTTATTTATTTCAATAACAAACGCCGATCGGCTATATATAATACATAAAGATAGATAAACAATGTTTAACGTATTAATTGCTGAGACGGAGGCGGTAAGTCCGCGTATAAATACATTTAGATAATTATTGCACTATAATAGTAACAAAATAAAAAAGTTAATACCTTTTTTTAATGATGAACTATATAAGAACATTAGATGATAGCAGTGATATAGTGAATTATATAATATATATACTGTAACGGATTTTTCTAGAAATCGTCTACCTATAACTCTCTCTTGAGTTCGGTCTATGGATTGTTAAATAAAAGTCCAAATTTAATGCTTTACTATTTATTATCCGAGCTTACAATTTCCTGCTTATATCTCAATTGCTTTTAACACGACAACACTCTAATACTATGTTCGCACCGAATTGAAATCCTCTCGAAAACACAATATGGTAATATGACAGTCATAGCTGAAAAAATTTTGTCAGCGCGCAGAACAAGGTTTCTATCATTTTCTTAAGAGCCTTGTGCAAAAACTGATGTAAACATGATGTGAGTTTGCATCTCTCTTTTACACATGGGTATTCGGAATTGATTCACTATATATCTATACTGCTTACTCTCATGTCTTTTTCTGAGTTATTGCTGACCATAAATCCGTCATAGCTGAAAATTGTCAGTTATGACAGAAACGCATCGAGCAAGAGATATGTTCGCACCGACATTAAATTCGTGTTTTCATAGACAAAAGAGGTTCACTCGAAAACTTGTGTTATCAGTCATACAAAACCTGTCAAACGAAAACACAGTTTTCGCTGAAAACCCCTTGAAAACTTACATTCTACTCATTATAATCGGTGCCTGCTCTAGTTTAATCGATATTATTAGAAGACATATTTTGCCAGCCCTAAATGTCAGTTGACAATTTGTTTACATTCCATAATTGGCCTACACGTACCCTACAAGAAACTGCTGATGGGTTCACCAATACACTCACAATTGATATGTCATTACTGTTAATTTACATTTGCATTTTTAAATTCAGAACTATCCACTGATTAGAGAACGACGTATGCAAAGCTATTGAGAGGAGGAGATGGCATCAAGTGAAAATTTATTTTTATAATTTCATATTTTATTATATTTTTTGTTGCATTCCTTTTTATATATAAGTATGTTATTATAACTATCTTTGATTAAAAGTTCAAAATTTATTAAAAAAATAAAAATTATATTATCTATTGCGTAAAAGAATTTTTCACTCCTGATAGCGTTTCAGTCATAACTGACAATTTTCAGCTATGACGGATTTATGGTCAGCAATGACTCAGAAAAAACAAAACACACAAAAAAAGAAAACAAGGCTCTTAAGAAAATGATAGAAACAAAATTTTTTCAGCTATGACTGTCATATTACCCATCAGATGACCGTCACTGTTCTTGTAGGGTACACAACAAATGTAAACAAATAGATGTGTGAACTGTCAATGAAAACTCATCGAAAACACACAATGTCGGTCAGAACGAGTTTGGTTCCACAATCCACAAATTGTGTTTTCAAGAGGATTTCAATTCGGTGTGAACATAGTATAACGGATTTCTCGATAAATCGTCTACCTGTAACTCACTCTTGAGTTCGATCACTGGATTGTTAAATTAAAGTCCCAATTTAATGGCTATACACTAATCTCTACTTATATTTCCAACAACTTAACACTTCTTGCTCGATATTCGAGTTTACAACTTATTGCTTATGGCTTAACTGCTTTTTACACGGCAACACTCTAATTAGAACTGTCTACTGCACAGTCCGGCACCCTTATATAGTAAATTTTTAACAAAAGTTCGCTACTAGAACATTCTAACAACTACGAATTCGCTGTCTAGTTGCTTCTGACAGTTTATCGTCGATTCTGATATGTTCTGGTATTCGTATATACGTTCTCCGCCTAAACGATGTATAATAGAATCCCTGCAACCCTGATGTAATGTCATCTAAAAACTTTGTTGTCGACATACATATCGATGAAATTATTTGCACGCGTGTAAAATCCTTTCACAAAAACGGTGAGTCGCTGGAAAAAATAATGTGATATAAAATTGAATAAATGTGGTTTGTTAAAAGAAGAATATATTAATGTCGTTGCAGGTAATTAGAGCATTCCCACTGCTACGCTCCACTTCAGTGAAATTGTGGAAATCTCATCAAAATAATTTGGAATCGAAAACAAAATATTGTATTAGCGGTAGCTTATTGAACTTTGCCAACAAAGCTCAATTTAGTATCCAAAACCATATTGGAGATTTCATTAATAACAATAGTGTAAAACCTGACATATTAGCACCTGAAAACTCTAATTGGGGTACGAAGAAAACCAAACGAAAAGTAAGGTTACGCCTTACCGATATGAGTAATTCAGAAATCGAAGCAAAGTTAGCGCCATTGCGTGCTGCAGTGCTGGAGCAAGGAAATTTGGTGCGTGAACTAAAAGTGAAAGGTGCGCCTGAGATAGATGTGAAACGTGCTGTGGCTGAATTAAAAGCCCGTAAAAAGATATTAGAGGACCGTGAGTTAGAACTTACTCCAAGCGTCGTAACATTCGATCGATCGAAAATGGAGGACTTGCTTAAACGTCGTTTCTTTTATGACCAAAGTTTTGCAATTTACGGTGGTATAACGGGCCAATATGACTTTGGTCCTATGGGTTGTGCGTTAAAGTCAAACATTCTTTCTCTGTGGCGTCAATTTTTCGTCTTGGAAGAGCAAATGCTTGAAGTGGATTGCTCAATATTAACACCAGAACCAGTTCTGAAAGCTTCCGGACATGTAGATCGTTTTGCAGATTTAATGGTGAAAGATGTTAAAACTGGTGAGTGTTTCCGGCTTGATCATTTGATAAAGAATGCTTTGGAAAAATTGTCAAAGGAGAAAACTTCAACATCAGAAGTAAAAGCCGATTGTGAAGACATTGTTGTTAAGCTTGATGGCATGAATAAGCAAGAGATGTCTGATGTACTTGCAAAGTACAGCATAAAGTCCCCATTAACTGGTAATGATTTGACTGAACCGATTGAATTTAATTTAATGTTTGCTACTCAAATTGGCCCTACTGGTATAGTAAAAGGCTTCTTACGACCAGAAACAGCACAAGGTATTTTTGTTAATTTCAAGCGATTACTTGAGTTTAACCAAGGGAAGTTGCCTTTCGCTGTTGCTCAAATTGGTAATTCATTCCGAAATGAAATCTCGCCCCGCTCTGGACTAATTCGTGTTCGTGAATTTACAATGGCGGAAATAGAATATTTTTGTGATCCAACTCTTAAAAATCATCCCAAATTTGAAAGTATAGCCGATACTCTTTTAACACTTTATTCGGCATGCAATCAAATGGATGGCAAATCATCTCAAAAAATATCAATTGGGGAAGCTGTAGCAAACAATTTGGTGGCAAATGAAACACTGGGTTACTATATGACAAGAATTCACCAATTTCTTATGACAATAGGTATAAAACAAGAATGTCTTCGTTTTCGCCAGCATATGAACAATGAAATGGCCCATTACGCTTGTGACTGTTGGGACGCAGAATGTCTTACAAGCTATGGCTGGGTAGAATGCGTTGGCTGTGCTGATAGATCCGCTTACGACTTAGGTCAGCACACTCAAGCAACTGGGGTTAGGCTGGTGGCTGAAAAGCGTTTACATGAACCCAAAACCATTGAAGTGTCTGAAATCGTACCGAACAAACAAACATTGGGCAAAACTTTTAAAAAAGATGCTAAATCAATTACAGATGCTTTATCTAAGCTTTCCACGAGGGATGTGAAAGAAGTTGAACAGAATTTAGAAGAAAAACAAGAATACGTTCTTTCTCTACATAATGGTAGTGAATTCAAATTGACTCGTGATACTATATTCGTCAAACACAGCACTAAAACAGTTCACGTTGAGGAAATTACACCAAGTGTCATTGAGCCATCTTTCGGAGTAGGCCGTATTATGTACGCATTGCTTGAGCAGAATTTCCAATGTCGTGAAGGTGATGAACAGCGTTGTTTTTTCACACTACCATCCGTGGTTGCGCCATTGAAATGCTCAATACTGCCATTGTCAAATAACGCTGATTTTAATCCCTTTATACGTCAGTTATCCCTTGCATTAACCAAGGCAGAGCTTTCACATAAAGTGGATGACTCAAGCGGATCTATTGGTCGACGTTATGCACGAACTGATGAAATTGCCATACCTTTTGGCATTACCATTGACTTTGATACACTAAAGAAACCACATACTGTAACTTTAAGAGATCGCGATTCTCTTAAACAGGTCCGTATTGGCATCAATGAAGTTATAGAAGTTGTTAAGAATTTATCTACTGGAAAAGTGCATTGGCCTCAAGTTATTGAAAAATACCCCGTATTTGAACAGCAAGAGGCTACAAAGTGAATAAAACCATGCATTTCAATTATAATGATATAAAAATTTGTAAAGTTGTCGATTTTTGTAATTCTAGAATCTTACGTTATACATATTAGGCTGAAAGCGAAAATATAAATACAAAAGCGTCGTGTTTTCTGTTCTGTTTTCTGTGCTGAATTAAATTTATTATATTATAATTTTTCTTAATTATTTTATATATAATATTGACCTCACTCCATGTTAATTAACCAACTTTACTTTTAATTTACATAACCAGTTGTATCCTTCACTTGATCAGATCACTTTTGGATCAGAGGCATAGAATAGTTTGGTAAAGACGCAACGACATAATTTATTATTATAATAATGATTTTTATAATTAAGAAGCCATTTTAAAAACAATACAGGAAATTTGATGTTTCTGACAGTATCTTAACTTTCTTTCTGATTTTAGGAAGATTTAAAAATTCTTAGTAACAAAATTTTAATTATAATAAAACTATATGATGAAACTAACTCTTGCCGCAATTAAATGTCTATAATACATACACTTCGTTCCTTTTTTTATTTTGAAAGGAAATCACCAAATCTCCCAGGAAGTAGGGATCGTCATTTCTTTAAAGTAATTGAAATATCCCCTGCTAGCCACCTATCGGTTAAGTCATCATACAAATCATTAATCTCCCTTTAATTACCCAACAGCGCTACCAGCGGTTTCTTAGGATCTAATTGAATAAAAAAAACTTAATTTCGAATATAAATCTTCACTGCTGGCAACACTGAAAACTTCTCCAAATTTCACAGCTGTTTAGTGCTCCAGATTTGATTACTTGGAGAAGAGTAGGGGAAACCATTTAGCAACGCTGCCACTGTATATGATTGTGGCGATAATGAAAAAACCTGTTCATTTATTGGACAAACAAAATTTCCTAAAGTATTGCATTCGAATTGGATCATTTCACAAAGTGGTTCCCCAATGACCCCAAAAAAAAAACAGCCAAATGGACCAAAACGATACCGTGTTTGACAGTTCTTTCAGTTTTTCCCGGCTAATAATTTTTAAGATCTAGTGTCTCTTTTTAGTGTCCTAAATATTTTTCGTAATTAAATATTATTATGTTAACTTATTTAATAAACATAGCATTTTATTTCACACATCATGTTCATTAACAGAGCATATAATATATGAAGATATGTAAAAAATCTGGCATTACTTTCATATGGATCCCATGCGAATTGGCATTTGGCGTGCGTTTGTAAAATAAAATCAATCTTGCAGTAAAAAAGTTAACAAAAGTCCGTTCTTATTTGTATTGCGTGCAAGAGTTTCCGTTCAAACATGTGGTATATTTCTATGAAAAGTTTTTGAAAGACGCAATTAATTGTTTGTTGTTTTGACTTGATTATAGTGCGGTTAATGTTACAAAAACTAGAAATAAAGCGGTTAATCATTAATTGACTAACATAAAAAAGTCACTGCAAATTTTATAACCGCCTGCTTGGTTAGCCAGAAACCAGACTATCACAAGTCTACACTTGTCAAGTGTATTCATAGACAGATTTTCTAAAAAAAACTTGCAGTGCGCATTCCTAACTTTTACGTTGAAAGTGAAGACTCCTTACTTTGTAAAGATGAAATATATTTTAGTAACTGGTGGTGTTATCAGTGGTGTCGGTAAAGGTGTTATCGCATCATCTTTCGGAACCTTGTTAAAATCATGTGGTCTTAATGTAACGTCAATTAAAATAGATCCATACATCAATATAGATGCAGGAACATTTTCACCTTATGAGCATGGTAAGTAATAGAATTCCTTACATCAATTATCTTCCAATTTATTTATATATACTTATATGAGGTTGTCAAGATTTCTTTTGTGAAAAATAGTCTAACAATTTAATGCTCATAGACGATATGTACATACGTACATATGTATGTAAATTGGCAAGCATACAAAATATTTTTGCGTAGATTTTAGCTTTTTTTGTATTCATTTATAAATTCCAAATTTAGAACCATTTGTTGATTTAAATGTTCACGTGGTCTATATCGCTACTAAAAAAAATAACAAAAACAGCTTTATTTATTCTTTGTTTTTAAAGACTTGATACTAACCCTACAAGAAACTGTTGGGTTGACCACAGCACTCTCCTTGGACACTGTCATTGTTGAATGATAGAATACAAGTTTACGCCAACCGCCATCTTGTGACGTAATTCTTTTGAGTTGAGAAAAAGAAGCATAGGTCAGCATGAAAATTGTAAGCAAAAACGTAAAACCTTTGGTTAAATCGTGAAATAGACTTAGTTTATAGTGAAATGAATAGAAGAATGTTGCGGACAAATATTTTGGTAATTTTTTAATAAAAACTTTGAGTCGGCTTTAGAGGTATGGTTGGATAGGATTGGAGACTCTCCAGATAAAGAATATATATAAATATAGCCGCCGGAAACTTATAGTTTTCGAGATATTTGCATTTTAAGTTAAAAATTTCTCAAATTTTATCTTACAATTTCTCGATTTATAGTTAATTTTTCTTTTATATTATGCACTTATTATACACTTACACTTAACTACAATGTTTCTACATATTAATTTTATTTTAACACAATTTTTGTTATGGTCAGACTGAACAGGTCTTAAGATGGCTCCATCCATTGCATGTATTGCACCTAACCGAGGTGGAGTTTGGATGGAGCCTTTTAGCGCAAACGCAGCGGTAGAATTCCTCGGGGCCCGGGTTGGACTCGATGCCAGCACGGGTCAGGAGGATACGGAGCAACCCTGCTGCTAGCCGTTGCTCCAATGACGACAAACTTAATCTAGAACTTACCGATCCAAACAGGGTTAGATCGCCGAAATAACAGCCCTTGGCCGGATAAAATCCGGGTCAATTCCGGTATCGCAGAACCGGCTGTTGTGGGAATTGGTGATTCTGGTGGTGTTTGAAGCTGCTTGGGAACGTTTGTAGAGTATCTAAAGTTTAATTATGTCTGCTGGATGCTTCGGGCCGTTATCCTGTAGAAAATAGGAGTCACAAGAACAAATTCTACCGCTCTTTGTTAGTTACTAAAATATAACTTTCTGCCAAAACTCCCGGGGCTTATTTAAGTGCAATATGAATGAGTTATAGTGTGTGACTTAACAATAAAACCCGGTTTTGTTTTTTAATTTTGCGAATGATGTCAGTGCAGAGCGATTTCTTCAAATTTTTCTTAACATTTTGATCGATTTTGGATGCAGTATATCGAAAGTTTTGCTACATACTTTGCAAAACGTTACGAGTTTCACACTGTGCTAGTATTTTTGGGCACCCTGGACGCGCCGAGGTATAAAACGCCGGAATAAAAGAATGTGTTCTTCCAGCAATTCGACCGATTACAGGGTATGTTTTTCCTTTTTCAAAAAGTTTATTATTTTCATTTCAGAGGGGCTTATTTGTTTTCTTTTAAGCGAGATTCGATATTCTAAATTTAATAACACTTAATAGAATAACTTTTACGAAAACATTGTAACTTTCCGACACTTTTGCATTTGGTTATTACGTAGGGAATTGTCATTTTACTACTTGTAAGCAGACTTTTATCTAAAAAAATTAAATTTGTCTATAAAACTATGGTCTCAGATTTTCATTGTTTTAAATGCTATTGAATTATTTTTCTAATAACGGTGTATCTTCTTGCCTGTGATTGTGTGTAATGCATGCAATACTTCCAACTTGCGAGAGTATAAAATGTTGTTGATATTAAACTTTGCACTTTCGTAAATTCTATAGGTCCACAGGTTTTTAATGGGAAGTGAGGTGTGGGCTCTGGGGAGAATGTGACAGCACTTTTTTTCACGATGTACAACCAGAGAACTTAGAAGAACGAGAGGATGCAGGTTTGACAGCGAACGTTTGTAAAATTTCTGTCGGGGAATTCACCTCACTTCCACCTTCTCGTTCATTTACGTTCTCTGGTTAGCATGCAACCCTTTTGCTATTGTGTGAATAAATATAATTCAATAAAAGTTAAATAATAAATTAAAACTATTTTTATAATAATTAATAAAAATTAAATGCATAGAAACAATTAAGTGACGTGTTAGTGAATGAAATGAACAATATAAGTTTCAAAAACATTATAAGTAAATCGAACAAGTAAGGAAGAGCTAAGTAACCGAATATCATAGTCGTGCAACTTGCCAGGACCAAAGCCATTAAAATATCTTCAGGTGCAAAACGTCAACCAGAGGATACTTGTAGGAAATCAAGCAATTTTATAAATATATAACTCATGCTCATGTATATTTGACACTACTACAAATTATTAAAATACCTCACATACCATCACTCACCAATTTATAAGGAGTAAAGTTAACTAGATGTTTGAAAATCCTGATATTACTTATATGGGGTCTAAGGCTAGTTTTCACGCAATTTCATTAATTGTAGGCAAAAATTGCACCGTTATTAGACGCTCTCTCAATTTTAGTAAAATAAATCACATATTTGCCGATGGGTTTTCACCTAAATCGTCCAAACTTGACATCATCTTTAACAAAACCGTTATATGGGGAGTGGACGAGATTATAATCCGAATTCAACCTTTTTCACAGAGTGGGCCCAAAATATTTTCCCTGTGCGGAATCAGTTAATATAGGTTGAATGGTTTGGGAGATATGTACATTAAACTTATTAGAGGGCTGAGCCACGGCCACTTAAAATTTTTGAACTAAATAACAACCTTGTATTTTATTGTGGAGCTTAGTTATGACACTTTATAGTTTTTCGTTTAATGGCGTTTTGTGGGCGTGGCAATGGTGCAAATCCGCCTATCTGCAATACTAATTCACCTTAGTTACCAAGGAACATGTGTACCAAGTTTCATCAGGATATCTCAATTTTTACTCACGGACTCATGGATTTTTACTGACGGAAAGACAGACAGTCAATCCGAATTCAACTCATCCCGTCATCCTAATCATATATATATATATACATATATATAATTTTTACTCACGCACTCATGGATTTTTACTGACGGTAAGACAGACAGTCACTCCCAATTCAACTCATCCGTCATCCTAATCATCCTAATCATCATACATATATATACAGTGAATCTATTAAGTTTAGGTACAAAGGCATTTTCTCCAATAAACCTCTAATTTCTTTATTTAAATTATTAAAAAGTTAATTTTTTATTATATATATTAACACAAAAAATATAATAATAAAAACATCAAATCCATTAATTTCACGTCAAAAAAGTTTTGGTACAAAAACGAAAGTGATTTAAGAAATAATTGATACAGAAAACATATGCTATTTTTAATACTTTGTTGGTCCTCCTTTAGCTTTAATTATTGCTTGCAAACGCCAATGCATGCTTTTTACTAGCACATTAGTGTCAGACTTTGTAATTTTGGCCCATTCAGTCTCTGTAGCGGCTTTTAACGTGTCCCAAACCATGATGTTTCCCCCACCATGTTTGACTGTAGGTATCAAGTTATTTTCTTGCATCTCTGCATTGGCACGCCTCCACAATTTTATTACTCCATCCGACCCAAAAATGATGTATTTTGATTCGTCGGTGAATACAACATTCTCCCAAAACAAATCTGGCTTGTCAAGATACTCTTTAGCAAAATGTAATCGTTTTTTCTTATTTGCTTTTGATATGAATGGTTTACGTCGCACAGTTCGGCCATAATAATCAGCTTTGTGCAGCGCATTCCTCACAGTTTGAGGATTTACATTTTTTTTAAATTCGACGTTTATATTATTCGTAATCTTTACTGCTGAAATACGCGGACTTCGTTTAACTGCAACGATGGCATTACGTTCTTTGTAGGGTGTCAAAGCTTTAGGTCTGCCCGACCTCAGTTTTATATTTAGATCTCCGTTATTTGTATATGATTTTATAATGTTATAAACTCTAGAATGACGTTTCCCTACTAAGTTGCCAATTTCACGTTAAGTTTTATTTTCCAAATATAATTTTAATATTAATTTTCTAACCGCGGCCCATTTTTTTTATTTCAGCTACTAATTACACTAAGCTTTAACACTTCTACGTTTTTACATTTGATTATGTGTAGTTCTCTCTCCGCCTTACACAAATTATTAAAAAAAAATTAATTAAACGCAACAAAATCAACAAACATGATACGCTGAATGAGCTGTACCTAAACTTTTTTGAGTATTTTTGGCTGCTTTTTTAAGTCACAGCGTCAAAGTGGCGCCACAAGATAGATAACGGCACAAAAATCACTCAGTAACGATCAGCGAATGCTGTTCTAAGAATATACATAACGGTTTTTTTTAACTTTTGTTGAAACTAGTTGTTTGAACGATTTTTGGTACGAATTGTTACTGTACCTAAACTTAATTGATTCACTGTATATACACATAGCCAATAAAGTCTGCGTTCACCCGACACATTTTTTAAGTGAAGTAAAAACACAATGTAAATAGGTAAATCAGTTAAAAAATTTTACATGTATTTCTTTATATTCTTAAGTTCAAAATGCAAAAACAAAAATGTATATTCCTATTTTAATTTTTGAGATAACGGGATTTTAGTGTAAGAAGGTCTGCGTTCAGTTAGCTTGAATTGGAAATACCGTTACTTCTCATGAATTTGTTCCTTCTTTTTGCGTTGATTCTATTCGTTTTAATATAATAAGTCGTTTAAAGAGCTCGTGACGAGTTTTAATAATATTTAAAAAAATGGAAACCAAAGGAAAAGAAATTAATCTGTCGGAAAGAAAAATTATTATTAAGTTTTGGAAAGATGGCGAACGTTTCTGAA